TCATAAAGTGAAAAGAGCATACTGAGTGCAGCTGAACTTTGGAAGAAACTCTGACTTGCATTTGCCAAAATCTTAGTGAACAAAGGGAAATTGTTTTGATCTGTCCTGAACTTTAAAACAACTTACAAATCTCACCCTTGCAAGAAGACGTGGTATGCCTAAAGCTTCACATTGTTGCTAGTCTTGGGAATTTAACCTTTAAAGTTAATCACAAGAACATTCCTTTCAGTCTAATGGTTCAATAGAGTAATATGAATTATATTCACTATTGTGACAGACCTTACTTCACACTCAGAGGGAATTTGTTAACGCTAAATTAAATTATAGATTCTTGCAATTCATGCAGGATTGTTCTGGTGGTACTTTTGCAGGATTTGCAATAGAAAGACAATTATGATGGTGAGGTTTTCAGTGTGACATCGATAAAACTGGAGCTTAATGTTAGAAAACTGGCCAGTAATATCTGCTTATAGGCTTTCATTATGGTCTACAAAAATGATTTTCAGAATTACAGTAATAATTATAAATCCAGTACTACAGCTTTCTTGAACACTCTCTCAGGACTTAAGGTGATCTCTCAGTAACATTTTACTCCTTTCCCTGAAGCAGCAATTTTTTTATTATGTTTTTTCATATGAGCATGTTTGTTTTAATGTGAGCGTGTCAGATATGTTATCTTGCTTTTGATGCAAGCCCACCTTTCTCAGCTTCTGTAAATACTGTGGGATTCCAGCAATACAGGTGTGTCTATAGGCTTTTATCATGGTGTCAGTATTTTTACATTGAAGGGAATAGCATGTCTCCAGCTAGACAGAATTGTGGCTGTTTTGTCATCATGTACCTGTTTACTCACCCACTCTCTCTTCCAAAAATGCTCCTTTTGTCCTCCTGTTAATATTTCTGATGTGAGCAGAATCTCTTCTGCCTGTGATCAGTGAGAATCCATCATCTCTCCGTGGTCACTGATCCTGGAGCAGAACCCTGAGATACTCTTTTGCACATCTGCTCTTGTAATACAATGAGGGAATACTATCAAGTGTTAAATTGTTTGTCTTCTCTATACTCAGTGTATATTATGATGGAGATGGGTTACTGATCAAAACAATCTCTTTGTGGAGCTGCACTGGGGAATTCAAGTGCAAAGTGTAAACAAAGGCATTTCCCCCTGTTTGTAGAAAAAAGAACAGTGAAAGGTTTGCCTGCAGTCAAGTAGTGTAGTTGGTTACTACATACTGGAGGTACACACAAACAGTATAATATGCAGTGAATTTTCTCAAATTGAAAAATATTTTGAATTTCAAGAAAGACGTTTTGCATTATTTAAATATTCCTCCAAATTACTGGATCTTTGTATTTTTCCAGGGGTTGTTTCACTTTCATTGTCACAGAATGAACTAAGCTAAAGGGTCTTTACCACTTTGTTCCTTGTACAAGTCTGAGTAGCAAGAAGCAAATTGAAAGACAGAGATAAAACATAAATGCAGTTATTGTCACAACCCAGGTGATGCAAAAGTTATCACTGTAAAGTGTTGGTTGGTGTTTGATTAAAAATAAATATTATATTTGGAGGAACGAAAAAGGTTCTTTTTCAATACCATGGGGTGGTGGGGTGTGGAAGAAATTTAACATCCAGTTCACACACCCACTGAATTTATTCAGAAGTCATGGATACAATAGAAATTGTTTTCCAAGTGTTCAGTTTCCACATGCCCTAGGGTGGACACTGGGTCTACAGAAGAATTTCTTGATTGAAGCGTGATACAAAGGATCTGCTAGTAACCTCTAACTAGAGGAATTTGGGAATCTGGTGGCCTTGATGGATATTTAGTTAGATGTTTCTCATTAAATCCCTGGGCTATTTTTAATTTGCATTTGCTTGTGGTTTTCAGTGAGATTGGTATTTGTAAGTAGAATGCTTCCTTGCCTTTGGAACAGAATGTCAAGGGAAGCTTCTCTTGCCTCTGCTCCTTGTGCTTCAGGGCTGCAAGGCAAAATAATTAGTTCCACACAACTAAGAATAAATCACCCAGGTTGCAACATGATAGTGCTTGACAACTGGTAATGTTGGAAAAAATATTTCAGTAAATCATTATTGATGAGAAAATTGATGTGCAGAGCAGATAATTCCATTTTAGGTACGTGTGCCTTTACAGTAAGGAGAGTGTTGCTAACTTATCCATAGGTGGCTGCCTTTATCCTGCAAAGCAAGTATGTATGACAAGATTAAAGACAGTTAATATTTTTTATTTTTCCTTTTTAGAAAGATGGTACAGTAATATGTATATATATATACATACATCTTTAGTTACAACATTTCAGAGATTTATCATCTTCTGAGTATTTCAAGACTAAAAAGTGTTCATTCAATCCTTGTCCCTTTATGTTTTCCAGAGGACTTGGAGATTCCACTGAGGTTTATTTCATCTTTTGTTGGGGAGAAAAGAAAAACTTAATTTTGGTTACCTGTTTTATTTTCATCAGTTTTACCCTATTGTGCCAGTTCATTTTCTGTAGTTTAAGGGTCATGTCCTTCACTGGGGACTCTCAGTTATCTGCCCTGCAGAAGGCACAGCTGTAGGTACAGAGGGTTTTTTAAGTAGTACCTAGATGTTAGCATGACTTTGAATATTTCTGCACACTACTGTTCCCTGGATGATAACAAAACCCACCATTTATTACTCCAGACTGAAAACTATGCATATAGACTGAAAGAATAGACAGGTTCACACTTTATACACATTGCATTCTTGTTTGGTGTTTTTTTAATACCAGAGGGTGCAGTTATGTAAAGGGGAGATTAGTACTGCCATACAGCTGTCTTCTTACTCTGGTCATAGCAAACAGCGTTATTGAAACATGAAAATGCACACTGTCCTTGTGCAAATGCTCGTGCTGCCTCGGTAATCATCTTAATATATGCTGAAGCTGAATTATTTAGCTGTCTGTTGTGTGTGGTTTGCTCACAGCAAAGTCTCTCTGCACTATCCCCTCCTCAGCCAGCCAGAGCCTTTGGCGAGAGTGTTTCTCCTTCAGAAGTAAACAGGAGTCTAAGAATAACTCAGCCTCCTTTGTAGTATATTTTCATGGTTGACTGTCTAAACACCAGCCTGTCTAGACAGCTTATGACACTGGCAGCTCCTCAGGTCAAAAGCAACCACTGGGCTGCTCTTGGGGACGTTGCCTCCTCTGCAGCCCTACGTGTGGGCACCAGTCAGTTTTCACTCAGAACAGTAGGGTTCTTTCTGAAGCTCCGTGGACTACATAAGGCATTAAAAAATAGATAGGAGTGTATAAGGAAGGAATTTCCAATTCTTACAGTTTTTTCTGACTCACACGATACGTCTCCGGTGATGGGTTCTTGGTGCTCTTTAATTGTGTTTTGCCGTGTCATTTGTGTTGTGCCCAAATTTAGTTTTGAGCATGACTTGGAGGCCTAATACTTTTTTTTCCTAATAGAAACTAACAGCAAAGATAAACCAAACCAAATTTCAGTCCATTACTTGAACAACAACAAAAAACTTAGGTAGTTTCTCTTCTAGCAGTAATATATAAATTGTGTACAAAGCTGAATCCTAAGTTTATGTACTTCCTTAAAAGAAATGAAAAATATGGTATAAAGAGCCTTATACCAAAAGATTCCTTCCATGGCCATGGGTTTTAAAGGAACATTTGGAAGTGTTTCCCTGAATTAGGTCGTTCTTCCTTCTAGCTTCCACTTGTTAACACGTCTGCCATTATTTGTGACTAGATGTTCAGTCTCCTGCAAAATCTTTTATGGTCATCATTACAGATTTAGACTATTTTCTAGAACTATCATAAAATCATAGCATCATTTGGGTTGGAAAGGACCTTAAAGATCATCTTTTTCCAGTCCCCATGTTCTACTGTGTTCCAGATGTATTTTTAAAAGACATAGCAAAGTAGTAGTGGATGTGTCTACACAGCCATTTTCTCTAGAGTCACAGCAACTCAGTTTTTCCATCACTGAAGAGTAAAACCTGGGTATAAGTTGCTGTATTTCCAGTAACAAAGCTGCTGCTAACTACTGTTTAAAAGCTGAAACAAAATGTTAGTTAATGCTTTAATTCAGCATTGTGAATACTGGACTAGATAGCCTTTGGGGTTGTCTGGTTGCATTATTTCTTACAAATGTCTTTGAAAGAATATCTTCCTACATGTGTTTTGGAGAGGGGTACCTTACATGCCACATGCCATTCACCAATTTATGATGTACATTTGCTATGCAAGAAGAACTTGTCAGAACAACATAAAAAAAAGGAGCTACTGAGAAATCTGTATACAATTTACTCATATGTAGATAAATTACGGGTTTTGACATTTTATCATGAGGTTGGTGTGTATGTATGCATAAAAAGGGTTTAGCATTAGGTCCTCTCAGTGTATCAAAAGATATATTCAGAACTCATAAATAGATCGAATTCTACAGCCACAGAAAACAAGGCTGATATGTTTTCTACCCAGGGAGTGGCACTTCGTAATCATCCATCACATAGCAAGCACCATGTAAGATGAACAAGAAAAATCACCAGTACAGCAAAAATATGATAGTACCAAAGGAAATATATAAAACAATACTTCTTCAAAACTTCTTAGTAATCAAGAGCCATTTTTAGTTTACTTTTTTTTTTCTCAGCTTTTTTCCTTTCTTATTGTTAATGCTTTAATCATCCTTCAGTCACACAGTGTCCAACATCCTTGGAAATTAGGAATAATACCCTTTCTTTATGTTGTTCTTCGAAATACTGTTTGGTGTTTCTTGCTCTGAATTCCTTCCTGATTGTTGGAAACGTTATCGATTCCTTGTTATTGTTCTATGGTTTTGGTTACATCTCTTGATGTTTTGATGAAGAGTTATAAGAATTAAACTCTTGCCCACTTCCTTTGCTTTAAGAATAATTTTAACAATTTAATATACTCCTAGGATGATCTTGGATGGTTTTGCTTGCTGTTGCCTTAAAATTTACCCCTTTCCTTTTAAGATCGAAAACCTTCAAGAGCAGCTGAGAGACAAGGAGAAGCAGATGAGCAGCCTAAAGGACCGCGTGAAATCCTTGCAGGCCGACACCACAAACACTGACACTGCCTTGACCACGCTGGAAGAGGCGCTCGCGGAAAAGGTGAGTACGGAAGGGGCGATCCTCTTCCCTGGAGAGCTCCTTTCACTAATTTTCTCTCTGGAGTCGCTGATCCCCGGCCTTCCCTGGATGGCGCATCCCGGCCAGGGCGGCAGCGCCGCATCCCGCGGGGCCGGGGGCGCGTCCCTCACCAGAGGGCGCTGCAGGACGCGCGAGTGCGGCGGGAACAGCGGCGTTCCCGGTGTGGAATCCGAAAGGATTCTCCTGATAGCTAACATTTTTTGGATGCTGGCTCGATTCCCAGGACATAGCCGACTGAGGGAACAGACTTTTCCGTTCTGTTTTGCTGGGACAACTTTTTGGACTTACTTTGTTTGGGGTTTTTTTGGGGGGTTTTTTTCACGGTACCCAGAGAACCAAGGCTACAGCTCCTTTAGTCTGTCAAAGCCTATAAACTATAAAAGTCTATTCCACGAGCTGTGGAATTCACTTGCATCCTTTCAGCTTCCAGGATAACCAAAGCTCCGTTGATATCTGGTGTACTGAAAAGTTGTTCTGTTGTCTTTTCTTGCTGTATATCAATCCTGGTGTCACATCTGCACTGCACCCTCTCCTCTCTGAAGGGCCACGTATTTAACTGTACATTGCAGAAAAATAAGATTTAAGTAAGTCAGAAAGTGATATGTAGTGTACCCTGGTTTGGGTTAATTTTGATTATCAGGGCAAGATAAATTGTGTTGCATTGTAACAGCACTGGGAACATTCAGAGATCCAGAAAACCTGGCATGTCATTGCAATGAATCCAGATATTTCTGAAGTTTTCTCCTTCTTGAGGATCTTTAAAACCATAAGGAAAAGGGCAATATCCTACACTCCTCCTCCTCGTTTCAAGTGTGTAAGAAGTGTTGTGATAAGAAGCCTCAGAAGTTGAATTGACTAAGAGGGATTTTTCACAGAGTGCTTTCTTTTGTCAGGAAAAGACCATTGAGCGCTTAAAGGAGCAGCGTGACAGAGATGAACGAGAAAAACAGGAAGAGATCGACAACTACAAGAAAGACATTAAGGACCTGAAAGAGAAAGTCAGCATTTTACAAGGAGATCTCACAGAGAAAGAGGTTGACCAGCAGCACAAATCTGTTGTGATAGAATTGTTTGTTGTATATGTCTGTGCTGTATTTGAGATGAAGAAAACTGTTGCTTTACAGCAATTGTCCTTTGACAAAGCTTATCTAGTAAAACACAGTACTTGAGAACGTGCAAAGCATAAATATTTCAGAACCACCTTTTCAGGGATAGCAGCCATCCCCTTATTTGCAGCAGTTAATCGTGTTAGTAGTGAATGACTGACGGTCAGTGACAGCATTGACCTGAGCTGTGCTTATGGACAGCTGAGGGCAGAGAACAGGCTTGTTCCTGTCTAAATGCATGGAGGAAAGGATAGAGGCTGATCAAAGCTGTGGGTGCCTAAAGCATGAGGATAATGTTTATTCCTTTATTCCACAAAACAGCTAGTTCTTTTGATTCTCAAGTCCTTTCTTGATTAATTAGGTTGATTGTTCATAATGAGCCAGTTGCCCAGACAAGTGAACTTAATTATATGAGAGAAATCTAAGTGCTCTCTGTTCCTCTCTTGTGTACTTACAATCTTGTTTCAAAAGTCAATCGAAGTAAAACAATACAAAAAATACATACCCAGGAAGTACTAAGATTTTTGTCTGTGTGGAAATCAGCATTTGACAGGAAGAAACCTGTCACAAAAATGGTTTAAAAAGCAAGGAGTTGAGATGTCTTCTGGAGTTAGGTATCAGTTTCACTCCATGGAAGGTGTATACAGAAAAGCTTTGAACCCTTTCAGTGGCTAAATCCGCTAACAACTTACAATTTGAAATACAATTTTATTGAAAACAATTTTTTCTTAAACATGACTGTCACTGGAGCACAAGTTCCAGTTTACAGAATGGCCCATCTTTAAAAAGTATTTTAAGATTCATTTAGACAAGGTTTTATCTTGATCCTGAAAACCTGAATTAAATCAAGCTGTCTTAAGTCAGTGACATGAACCTGCTGAAAAAACATGTTGTTCAAAATTGGATGCTGAACATAGTGTGAAGGGATAGGAAAAGAATAAAGACAAAAAGAAACTAGCTATTGCACTTACTTGATAGTTATTTCACATCTTTTAATTCAGACATCGCTGCTGGATCTGAAGGAACATGCTTCATCGTTAGCTTCATCAGGACTGAAGAAAGATTCGAGACTGAAAACACTAGAAATTGCATTAGAACAGAAAAAGGAAGAATGTTTGAAGATGGAAACTCAATTGAAGAAGGTAATTCGTGTTTATGTATGTGTTGTAAGCGTACAGTGCTAAACACATTGGCCATGTGTACGTAGAAAACTTTGGAACCTAAGAGCAAATTCTGGGAATTGTTTTCCTGCAGGAACTATGAAGGTGTGTCCATGCAAACCATATTACTAGCTGTAGTTTGAAAGTAACTTTCAGACACCTGTGCTAATTTTGGAGTTCATTTACATGCAGTAACAGTGCTGTTGGTTTTTTTTTTTCAACAGGTACTAGGAATTAAATGCTTAGTCTTCTTCAGTACAGTTCATAGCAGTAAATGTGCCATTAAACTGGTGTAACACCTAAAAAAATAACAGCTGAACATTTCACATACCAATTATCAGTGCTTACAGGCGTTAATGTGATAAATTCAGGGATGTGATTGGCCCAACCTGTAGGAGAGTGTAAAAAAAAAAAAGAATATGTCACCAGTGAAGTTTGTGGTCTTTTGTTTTAATCTCTTTGCCAGTCACAGCTGATATATTGGTAGGATTTTGCTGTTCAGAAGAATAGTGCTCCCTTACAAGCAAGCTAATTCATTTGAACAGCATCTTTGGGTTTGCATTGCCTTCTTTACTTTAGCAGAAAGTAGCATAAACACTGCACTGTTGAGAGAAACATTGGTTTGAATTTAACTATTTCATTTTAAAAGAGCTGTGATGAAGAAGCACAAAACACACTAACCAAAATAGTGGTAACTCTTCTGTTTATAAAATTAAAAGTAGACAAAATGCAACAGTTTTTAAAAGAAATTTAAGTCTTGGATCGTGGAGTTTTAGCTGCTTCTTTACATCTAACCAGGAAAAGGAGTGCCCATGCTGTGGTTTGGAACTCTGTCCTAGTTCCTTAAATGAATGTGAGATCAAATTTTGAGTCATCAGTTAAGACCTGTTTAGGATTTCTGTCATGTGGGTGTAAAGTGTGTGTTAATGCACCTGAGAACTCTGTCTAAGTGAAATTCTATATATGCATATATAGACCCATGTTTGTCCATGGTTCCATCACACAAAGTAAACAGTTCTGTTGCTCAGCATCAACAGAGCACAGTGGCAGCAAAAGATAGTTGTACACATTTAATTGGTCACACAGGCTCTCTCCAGTGGGTGAGTATTTCAGAAGGAAAGTCCTAAAGGACCCTTTCACTTTGAATTCTCTGTCATGAATTGCAGCTTCATCTCGTGTCAGTGTGTTCCTGGTAATGAGTTGAGGAATCTATTGGAACTAAGATTTTCCAAAAGTTGTTAGAGCAATTGGATGATGATATTAGTTTGTAGGTAGACACCTGGAGTGGAGACTGTTATAATCACTTCAAGATGATCCTGTTCCTGAGGGTTAAAAAGGGAAAATACTTCAAATGTAAAGAGCCCTATGAATTGTACAGGAGAGATATGGGACAAATAACTGTATCCTTAATTTGGTTCTGAGAAAAATAGTGAATATAAACTTTTTGTACTGTAAGAACAAATAAGATTTGCATCTTGTCACCCAAAGAAGCCATCTAAATCATTGTCAGGATGGTTTGAGTTCTACAACAGAAGAAAATTGATAGGCTACAACTCCCTATGTGCAATAGAAAGCCCTTCCCTAGTGCTCTGGTTATTTGCTCCTCTGCTTCAGGCATTATTGTTTACTAGGACTTTTGGACCATTGTTTCCTGTGCTGAGACCCTAAAGTACTCTCTCAAGTCCTACAGAGACAAAATCATCAATACTTTGTTCCTTTTTTAAGTACTGTGCCATGTTGAGCTACTGCATTCTTCTGTTCAGGGGAAAATTCAAATTCTATGGAAAGATTTTTTTTTGGTGATAAGAAGTCAGTTTACAATGACTTTTTATATAGGAATCTAACCTCAGGACCCAGGTATGCAGTAATTAACCGCATTTGCTTTCCTCAAGTTGAACAAAGGAGCCCACTTCTACCACTGGTATTCCTTGCTTTCTAGAACCAAGTCATGGTTACTCTTTGTTACTCAAGAAAATATGGTAAACATTCATATTTCTTTAAAAACCTTTTTTCCAGCTGTTTTTAATTTCCCAATTTTTTTTGTAGCTTGCACAGAAGTAAAAAAAAAATGTATTTTTAAAGGCTTTCTCTCTTTAATGCATTGCAGTTATTTATTCAGGCAGTTTGACATTTTCAAGACAGATTAGTTCCTTCTCATCCTTGAAACAATTATGACAGATAATCCAACTCCATTTTAAAGCTTCAGTTTTACACATCTGCATTGTTAACCACTGCAAATAATTGTCATAATTAGCTTTAAAACTAATGGCTACATAAGAGCATTCAGTTTAAAACTGAATTAGAGGTTCATTCTGTTGAGAATTATCTTAGTGCAGATTTACATAAGACACAGGCAGGAAGGAAGCTCTTGTGTGCCTCTTAACAATAAATGGCTAAAAGCTTTTTCTTTTAGGTTTTTTCCTTTACAGTTTGAACAGAGATGTGTTTAACATCAATCTTGTTTGAGTTTGAGTGCTTTCAGTGAAATCTATTAGCTTTAGAAGTTAAGAGCTGACAGAAGAGACTGAATTGAACTGCTGTTAAACTATTAGATAAAAAAGATTTGGGCAGTCCTTGGAAAAAAACTCTTGCTACTCTCCAAACAGTAAGCCTCTGAGAAATCATGAACCATGCAAACTTCCACTTTTTCTGTAAAAGAGATTTAACTTTGCACTAAAATGAAATATTATTAGCCAAGTGTGCAGGTGTGCTGAAAAGTTGCTGATGTGATTTTTCTTTCCATGTCAGTCTCCAGGGTCTGACTTAGGTGTCCACTTCTCGTTTTTACTATTCCTCTGATCACTAATAACTATTTTATGTTGATCCTTGACTTAAAAACTAAAACCGCAGGTTTTCATATTCTTCCCCCCCCCCCAATAATTTTGCTATGGTTATACCAATCTGTAAGCTTCATATTTTAATTATTCCACTGCTTCTGTGCTCAATTATCAGCCTTCTGCCAGCAGGAGATACTGTGGGAGGTTGTGAATGCTGAAAGCAGGCCATAGATGGATCCCTGTTGAGTTTACATGGCCTGGTGTCCTGTTTTCCTTTTAGCTGAGATGGAATCATTAGAGGCAAATCACACACAGGGGGTTCTCTCCCTGTTTTTATGTGAAGTGGTTTTATGCTGTGTTTTTCTTTTCCTTAGGAAGCTCTTTTGCCAAGCTCCTATTTTAATGTAATAATTTTAGAGTGAAAAGGTTTTCCTTTAGTTGCTTTTCTTTGGGATACTCTTTTCCTAGCTTTTTTTGTCTTGTCTTTCCCAGCCAGTATCCGTTCTTTCATTTTGTTTTTCTAGTTTGGAAGTGACCAACTAGTATTAGAAGTCGTTCCAGTGAAGATAAGTGGATTTTTGTCCATCTTAATTTCCAGTGCATAGTTTTTCTCCCTATAGATATACTCCTTATTTTTAGGGAAAAGAAATTGTCCAAAACCATATGTTAACAAACTTCCCCTTGGTGCAGTTCTAGGAACTGTTCATCAGAGAATGTTAGCAGTGATTCCCTGCCAGGAAAATACCTCTGAGTTCAACAGGCTCACTCAGAGGGTGTTTGATTTTTGGTTTTTTTTTTCTCCTGTGGTGTTCTTTTCTCAAGTTCAGGAGGATAATGTCTTTCAAAAAACAGGAAAAAAGTTACTGAATGAAATGTTCACCAAATTCTAATCTTTTCCAAGATTTACTTGGCGAATCTAATACAGACCCTGGTGCTTTTTATTTTTGTGAACATGGATTTCCTGTCACAACTGAAAATATTACTGATAGTATTGGTAGATGATACAGAAATACTGGCTTTTTTCTCAGCTGATGTGTTTTTTTTTTTTGAAGAAGGGACAGTAAATGATGTATTCAACATAGAAAGAAAAAGGCTACCAGGGAAATCAAGATGTCTTGTAACAATAAAAGTAAAAACCCAGCAACTGTGTTCAACCACCAGATAGTGCCAGTTACTGAATTAACTTTCTAAGCCATTTTGTTGTCTTGAAATTGATACAAGGGAAGCACTAGAAACCAAAGTCCTCCTCAATCTGTGAAACTCATCTGTAAACCCACAGAGCTATGTTAAATATGTGGGGACTGGGCAAATCTGTTAAAATGAAAAATGAAGGTGAAGTTTGGAACTGGCATGAGGGTGACTCTCTGTGTTTCTCCTGTTTCAAAAGCTGGTTAGTAATGCATGCTAAAAACACTAATTAAGATTCTGTCGTCTGAGTAAATGGATGTTGCAGCTATTATTTTAAATTCTTTTCTTGTTGCATCTTTTCTTTTTCTCTCTCACACTGTTCTATCCCAAATTTTCTCCATCTTTTCCTATCTTCTTTCTCCCTTTTAGCACCCTGAAGTTTTATTGAGTCATCCATCCAAGCTAGTAAGTTCCCTGGCAATCTGAGAGGCTGTTGCCAGCCATATTTAATTTTTTGTGTTGCATGTGCATTCACCTGTGCTTTTATATTTGAGCCAACACAGAATATATTGTTGAATTACTTTAGTAGTAGGTATGGCTAGTATGGATACAAACAAAATGCTCTGGTGTATCTGACCAGTCATGTTCAGAAAAGCTTTCTGAGATGCTTTCACTGTTTGACTGCATTTCTGTTTGGTCAGCTTGATACTGTGTCAATGCTTTTGTTTCCCTTTGCTGCTGATGCTTAAAGTGTCTTGTAGCTTTTCTGTCACCTCCATTGTCTGTGCACTTTCAGAGCAAGAATGTAGAATTTCCGTGCAAATCAAGCTTCTTGCATGAAAGTGTTCTGTAACACCATGTACAGCAGAGAATTGGAAGTAACAATTAAGTTACAGCAAGTAAGAGATGGCTTAAAAACTTGTGTAACCATTAAGCTCGCTGGTACTATGTCAGTTTAATTTTGGATCCTCTTACCAGCCTCCTGTTTGATGTCAAAGAGCACTCCTGTCAAGGAGTGTTTGTGTAATAATATCTTGACACCGTAAATTACGTAATCCAAGGTGGTTTTCATCAGAGATTTCTTTTGTGGCTCTGTGCATAAAAAATGGTGTTACAGAACTTTCATGGGTCTGATACCTGTGTTACTCTTGACAGTGTTCAGGGTAAATATAGCTGTCTATCCTGACAATCATTGTCTGAGGGTTAGAGAATTGCTGGTGCTTGCAATAGTCCAGTTTTAGTGGCATCCCATATTAGGAATTGTTTTAACAGAGCAGATAATACAATGCATTTATGGGACTAGATTTGTGAAGAGAGTTATGCTGTGCAGTAGAAAATTCTCTTTGAATGCACTAGGGCATAGAGACTCCTACGCTCCATTTTTAATTATTTATTATATGTAAAAGCAGTCATTAATAAATATTTTAAGGTGTTTGGTGCACAAAGTTAGGAAAAAACCAATTTTCTTGAAGGTTAGTAGGTATGTCATGGATATAGTCAGTGGATAAAGATCTCTTATAAAGTTAGTAGATGTGGCATATGAAGAATTTCATCATTTAGTATTTCACAACAGAAAATATTTTTCCCTGAAAGTTTTGGGTGTTCAGGTATGAAAAACAGATTCAAGTATCTTCTGGTAAATTGATACATTCCTCCACTTTAAAATAATTTTCCAAACTCCAAACCTGCAGATTAAGTTGGTAGAGCCCATTATTAAACCTGTGTAGTGCATCCTGTTAAATAGACTCTTTTATCAATTGTTTCTGGTTTTGCAAAACCTTTTAAATCTTTAAGCTGAAGTTTCTTAACGTTGTTTGCTTCAGTCTGACATTTTTGATTGGTTTTGTCTTTTTGAAAGAAACTCAGCCATAACAACTGTTTTCTGGAACAGAAATCCTTGTACCAGATTTTGATGCCGCTGTTGAAATCCATCTAAACCAATTAAAGGTTAAATGAATTATTTTTTTGTTTGTGCTCAGTAGAAAGCTAGATTAGCAAGGAAACTTCCCAAATATTCTACCCCATCCTGAAGAGAGAGGAAGACCTTCCCATTGTGTCTCTCCATGGTCACAGCCTCTCCTAGGTCTGGTCATTTGAGCAGGTGGCAGCAATACCAAGCAGACCATTCACCAATTACCATCCTGCTTCCAAGCAGCTGCTGGATACAAATACAGCAGCAATCAGCACCTCGGTGTGCAGGACACATCAGAACAATGTTAAGATGGGAAGCTGGTGCTGAATGTTAGCCATTGGGAGGAGAAAACAGATTGGATTTTATTGGGAGAATGAGTATCTGGGATTACAGTGAAAACTCCCCTGAATCTGGGATGTGGGGAGCAAGAGTGGGTTGTGTGTGAGCAGAAGACACGGGGCTACAGGTGCTGTTGGATATAACTGCAAGAAAATCTCCCAAACCTGAAAAAAAAGTGGCAGGAAAAGGATGAGGAGAAATGATAGATTAGTGGAATCTGCCTTAAGAGGAGTGGAATTTGAACCTGGGTAAATAGTGTTGATAAGAGGTTGGGAAAATGAGATATAATATGAGAAGATTGTACTTGGTGCAAATAGGCAGGAGAATTAGTGTCAGGAGAGCATATTCTCTACAAAATCTATAATAGCACACAAAATTTCTGAGACTCCCCATTACTCTGAAGTCAGAAAATACAGAGAGTTGGAACAAGCTGTGTTTTATTCTCCAATATGATATAGCCAATGTGCAGGGTATGGTACAAGAGGCTTTGTGAAGGCCAGGTTGGATGGGGCTCTGAATAAGCTGCTCTAGTGGAAGGTGTCCCTGCCCACAGCAGGGGTGTTGGAATGGTAGGTGATCTTTAAGGTCCCTCCAACCCAATCCACCATCTATGATTATATGATGGCTTTGAAAGTTCCAGTCCTGATGATGCTTCATGAGAGTGTCAGCATCATCTCATGCAGGGCAAAGTTTGAGAGCTTTTCTCCCTGTATTTCTTATACCTAACAAATTTAAACTTACCTGCTCTACCCCTCCGAGAAACCTTGTTCAGATAACACTGACTTTAAGAAATTAAATATCCAAAAGCTGGGAAATGGCCAGTGCCACAGTGTGTGGTCTTTCTCATTTTTCACTGAGTAGTTGTTAGAGCATTTTATAACTAAATTATTGTCTGCTAGACTCTTGCTGGCTTTAGTATTGCATGACAAATGCTCCAAGAGTGAGCCAGAGATATATGAGGAAGATGGGAATCATCTAGAGAAATTAGATGATAAAATTTTTTTTAGTAGTAGGAAAGCACTGAGTGAATAAGGCAGGATATTGTTACATCTCATTTTTTCCCCTACACAACAGGTATAATAACACATCCTCATTTCTCACTGGTGATGTTATGAAGTTGATTAGTTACTATTTGTCCAGAAATAGCCTGCAGTCAGGATTAGGATGACGGAAAGAAAATTGAGGAAATAAATTTTTTGTCATTTTGCAATTTAGAATAAACAAAGTCTAGAGCCATACACTGAATATCCAAAAGCAGGTCCTGACTATCTGATCATCACTTGAGTTCTGTTTCTGTAAAATAGTAGTAGCCTGTGGTCAGGTGAATAAAGTCCAGATGAGAGGAGGCAGGTGAGGGGGTTGAAGTTTGCTCACAAAGACAGGCATTCCCTGGGCATTTCCCTCCTGTCTTTATAAATGGTTTGTGTTTTTGTAAATTCCAAAGAGAGCAAATTGTTAATGTCTAGTAACAACTCTGGAACAGATATCTTTCTGAAGAGATCACTTTTTTAAGTGATAGTAGTTGCCTTGTCTTGAGGCATCTTCCTGTCTTTATAATTTTTTATAAAGAAAATAATCTGTTTATGAAATGATTCCAACATTATTCAGTGTCAGGAATCTGCAGTTACATTAACAAAGACTAACCATTTAAAGATGGTGAAAAGACAACAAATAACTCTTTGTGACAAACTCAAGCTTACAGAGCATAATAGTATATCAGAGAATTTCCTGTGTCTTTTGCTTCCATTGCAGCTTCTCCAAAAGCCTTGGAACTAAAGGAGGAGAAAGTCCGGTTGTTTTTTAAATTTAGAATTTTGTTGAAGCTAAAAAAGACACAATAGAAGGCAGCACAAGTGTCTTATCAATTGAATTGCTGCCTTCATGATAGGAAAAGTACAGAAAGGGAGTGTGTGTTTGTCTTTTGCAGTAAATAGTCATAATATATTTTTGTATTTGTGTGTGCATTTACTATTTTTAGGAGACGTGAGGCACCCTTGGAGGTAGGAGGGTGGATTAAAATGGGATTTCAGGTTCTTGGGAACTTCCACTTTGTGGCCAGAAGTTCTTGGCAACATTTGTATGTGAAATGTTAAACTGAATTTACTGTCTCAATTCATAGGTAAAAGTAGAAAGTGTTTGCTGTGAATTATTTGCTGTTTGATTTAGGTAATCTTTTAGGAATATTGATTTGGAATCTTAGCCATAACGTTGGGAATTTTTATTTACATTTTAGAAACTTTAAATTGGATCTGTGCTATTGTTTTCTTCCCTGCTTCTGGCATGCTTTAAGCTGTGTAAGATTACCTTTCCTCTTAACAAAGAGGTTTTTGGCACAAGAAATATCAACTTAGAAAATTCTTTTTAATGTGTTTTGTCTTCCTCTTGTCTCCATCTGTAAATAGTGGTTATTTCTGTGAAAACATTGGACATCTTTGTTTTAGTTGTAGAAGTTGGCTTTGTCAGTTGATTTTCTGTGGAAGCAATAGAAATTGTAGTACATTTATTTGAGGAACAATCACTCTTTCTTATATTCTTCGGTACCTGAAGCACTCACCCCATCACTTACCACATTCCAGATGGGAAATGATGGCTAAGAGCAGGAAAGCAGAAAGCTGTTAAACCACCTTTTAGTTTATAGTCCCTCTTAAGAACTGTGAGAGCATATCCAGAGCAGTAAACTTAAACTGTTCTCTGTCCTGAACCACTTAGAATTTGAAACTGAATTCACACTGGCAAAGATTAATACTGATCAGATGAGCTTTGCTAGTAAAAACATAGTTTAAGAAAGTGCTGCTTTCTAGCTGAAATGTGCCCGTGTTTCTTGGGCAGATCAATGCAGAATGAAACGTGCAGATTTGGTTGTGCTTTTGCAAGTAGCTTAAATTCACCTGTTTGACTGCACACAGGAACAGACGTAGAGAGCTAATGATGGGGGCAGCAGTAACAGTTAAGGGGTTTAAAATAGCCTTTAATCAGGTGAACTCCATGGCCTGGGTAGACTCTCTTTGTCAGAGGAGAAAGAGCGGTATTCCCTTCACCCTAAGCAAGCTGCTTTTAACATTTATATAGTTTTCATCGTACTTTTTTAATGCATTATCACAGTTGTTTGTAACTGTATTAAGAGGCCGCAGATTTACAGATACTGTGTCAGGCAGAGATGGAAGTCGAACTTACTGAAATATACTTCTTAGAGCCTCATAATACAGAAGAAACTCTTAGTGCATTTGTCATTTTATGTGTTGATTCTGTTTAAAAGATGAAATTACTACTAATTTTGGAATTTTTGTACACCTTTGGTGGGTAAGAGAAGTTGTATGTGGGAGTTTTTTTTTTACTGGGAATATAGGAATTCATTATGTGTGTTTAACTTTTTGGTTAAAAAAAAGACCCCAAAACTGAGGAATTATTTTGCAAAATGTTGCATTGGGAAGGTGGCCAATTTCGTGTGTTCCAAATCTTGATGTGAGTTTGTGGGAAACCTCTAAATGCACTGGTTTTCTCTCCTATACAATAAATGAACCCAGTAGGATTTTAGATATGCTCATGAAACACATATTTTGTGCAAAACCCACAAAATGGACCAAAGTCACTCAGTCAGTAATTCTCGACTCAGGAAGTGGGCTCCAGTTTACACCGTATCACATAACGTTCTCTTTGTGTTAGGTGAAAGTATCCATACTTATGTGCATTATATACAAATAACATGTGTTACGTGTCTTAACTAATAATTTATGTCGTGTAAATAGCCCTTTGCTTCTATAAGAACCAGACACACTGACTTGTTGGCTAATTTTCTGAAAAAGAAAATTTATTTCCCCTTCTCAGTAGTGTCTCTTGGGTTGTTGTGGAGATGCTTTTATTAGCAGAGTAATATAAATCAGGCCTGTTCTGACAGTAGGATTGCATTAGCTCTTATAACTTCTTTTGAATCAGTTTAATAAGCCAGGCTAACAGCCTAGCTTTGCTTGCCTTTTTTTTTTTTTTTTTTTTTAAAGGAGTTTCTTGATTATCTGATCATGTATTTTGGATGACTTTAAAGAGCCTGGAGGAGTATTTGTTAAAACAAACAATTTGGGATGTTGGAAACATACCTAAATCCAGTGCAGAAGAATTCAGGCTCTGTGTCTTTTGAAATCCAGACTTAACTCTATACACAGTGTCTCTTAGGACAATACAGATGCCCCCAGTAGATGTATAGGTGCCCCCCAAAAACAATATTCCCAGTTTCCTGTATTTGGGAAGGAAGGATGGATTTTTTTTTCTTTGAAATTTAGGTGTAGTTGAAAAGGAAATGAAATAAAATATTTCAGATTTCCTGCAGGTTGGAAATCCCAAAAAGGCATTTCAGAAACACCCACCAACACTCTCTTTCCAAAACCAAGTGTGTCCCCTGATGCTTGCAGCTGTTCATGGAAGTGACACACTTGTCAGTCTCACTGCTGCCATGTCCTCCTGGAGTCTGCATCCTCTTGGCAGTGCATTAATTACACTTCCACTTGCTGTAGAGAGCCCTTTCCCAGGGTGTGTAATTTGAAGTGCTTGTGGGGCAGTAAGGAATCTGGAAGCATCGACAGCCCGAACTCCTAAAGGCTTCTCAAGCTTCCAGGCCCACCAGGGATGCACTTGGGTCCATGTCTCAGTCAGAAGCTCAGAAGCCGGATTTTCAGTTCAGTGACAGAGGGGTTTGACTTGGAAGTCACACAAGTGGAGAGCCTTTTAAGTCTTCCTAAATCCATTGCCTCAGGAAAGAGTTCTGTACTTCCATGATCTTTGGTTATTGGGCACTTCTCAGTGGGAGACCTGGGGAGTGCCAGGAATTTTGTTCTAGGATAAAATACTGTGCAGGTTAACCAGCTTTCTGGAATTCTTGTCTTTTAAAAAAATAAATAAATAAAGCCAAACCAGTTTAGTATTGACTCCAAGGTGGGAGCTGCAGGGCCAAGGCCCTGGAACATGAAGGATTCCATTGTTTGGGAAACCCAGCTCTGTCCCAAGGTCATAGTCCCAGAAAAGACAGGCATCAAGACATCCTTCAGTCCTAGAATATTCTACTCCAAGTTTCTCCTGGATTTCACTAGAATGTGGCCTTGGCTTTCAAGGAGCTAATTAAAAAAATAAGACACTTCAAGGGAAAAATGTTGGGGTCAATGGATGGATATTTTCCTCCAGTCTTATTTTACTGAATAACTAAACAGATTTAGCCAAGTGTAGTTTTGCTATTTGGTTCTTTGGAAGCAGCAGCTCCTAACCCTGTGTTTTATACTGCTGTAGTTCTCTCCAATTACCTTTAAAAGCAACAGAGTCCTGGACTATCAGATCCAGACTTAGTGTGCTTTGGAGCAGAACATTGGCAGCTTGTAAAACAACTTTCTGCAGCTGCACACGGTAGGGAGAAAAGTCTACAGTCTTACTTTCTGTTGGAGGTTTGTTTCGGAGAAGAGAAAGGCCTTGATTTTGCAGGCAATCCTCATCAGCAGATTAGCTCCATCAAACCTGCTATTCACTGATGCAAATTTGAGCAATTCTGAAATAGCTTTAATTGATACCAAATTGTAGATCAAGATCCAAGGGCAGAGGTGCAGGGGGAGTATAAAAGGGTAGTCCTTAGTCAGCTGGTTTAACTTCCACCATAAATACTGCATTTTCCTTGTCTCTAATGTGCTTGGAAAATGTTGAATTAATTTTACTAGTAAATTAGTGATGTTTATAACAAACCAATCCACTTAAAAAAAAACCCCAAAGCATCTCTTCATTGGGATCATATAATCCACAGTCCTCTAATGCTTTTTGTCCCAATAGCCTGATTTTGAAAAATCTATTTCCTAGATAAATAGGCAAAGATAATTTTGGGAGATGGCCATAATCATAATAATCCTGGTCTATGGCTCATGTAACTAGCAAGGGCTTGAGAACACCAGCACCATCTGTGCAAATATATCTGACACTTTGCCTACTGATGTAGTTACTGAAGTTATTGTAGTTATTATATTAATTGTAGTTATTAACCTGTGTTTTGTTTTTCTAAATTATATGGATTATTATCAATTCCTCAGGTAACTAATTCTAGAGTCCTATCCCTGTTTTAAAAGTGTATTTTAGGAACTTTTAGACTCACAGTGGCTTTTTCTTTTCCCATCCTTTTAAAGAAGCTAAACTTTTTTAATATTTTCATATATTTTCTTCTTTTTTGTTTCGATTCTGTTTCAGATTAACAATCAATTTCAGGCTAAACTAAAAAAAAATAAAAATTTGAATTTGATTTAAATTTTCCTTTTCCCTGAAAGTATTTTCCCATACTCCAAAGTACCCCAGGCCCCCGTTATGTTTCTGTGCAATAATTAATCTTGCCGTTTCGAAATGGGTCTCTAGATAGCATTTTGCAGTTGTCATAGTATTTGTGAAATACATACACGTGGATGAAAGTGGTTTGTTGTTTTTGTTTTTTTCTTTTTCCTTGAACCTTTTTTCCTGCAGGCTCATGAGGCAACACTGGAGGCGAGGGCCAGCCCAGAGCTGAGCGATCGAATGCAGCAGCTGGAGCGAGAGGTAACGCGGTATCGGGAGGAGTCTGGCAAGGCTCAAGCCGAGGTGGATCGTCTTCTGGAAATCTTGAAAGAGATGGAAAACGAGAAGAACGATAAGGATAAGAAGATAGCAGAACTGGAGAGGTGAGAGTGGTAGAAAGTTAATAGAGGAGCAAAAGAGCTGATTGAAGTTAGAGGTAACTTAAGTCTGGTTTTTCTTGTCTTGCAAACTTTGGAGTGCCTATTTTGGGAAAGTCTGTTTAGAGTGTTTTCTCTCTTCAGTCCTTTATTGTGGTGGATTGTAAGCAAGAGGGTGTCTTAGTGTGTGCTTTCCTTACCTGGCTGCTCAAAAATAGGGCTGATACAGCTAGAATTAGAAGGGTAGATAGAGCTGTGAGGGAATGGAGAGGGTAGGAAAAGTTGCTGACACTGCTGTGTTTCTAGAACAGTTTGTTGTTTTGATTTACTAAATTCCTCAGGCATTTCTCTCACAAAACAAGACAAATGACTTTTAAGAGCTTTTGATGCTAGTTACTCAGATTCTTCTGACAAGTGACAAGTGACTCTTTGTACTGGTAGGGACACAGGTAAACTCTGTCCCAGGTGAAGCCTAATGAATAGATCTGCTCTTATTCAAACAAAATGTGATTCAGCCCTTTGCAGTATTTTCCATCTTTCTGTTGGAGCCAGGGTGCTCAAGATACTTTTTCAGGACTATAATGCCCCAAACAAAAATGATGATTTATTATGTTTCCATGACATTTGTTTCACAATTATAAATAGTAGATCTTGGGAAAGACCTGACTTGGATTCTGTGTTCTTCACTATTCAACTGCTCTCTCATTTCACGTCAGGAAGATTAGGGCAACAGGTTCTGCATTCAATGGTTATTTTTAATTGGCTTGCTGATAGGCCCCTCTGAAAGATTTGAAAAACTTTTGTAAGGAGTCCATTCTCTTTTCCTTGAAAGTTACAGAGCTCCAAAACAGTTCAACTTGTCACCTGGGTTTCTTCTCTTAGAGAAGAACATCCTCTTAGTTTTGTTGAAGTTGTTTTATTTGACCCAAATTCTTTATACCTATGGCTTGAACACCCAAAGGTGAGGATACATCCTTTTTGACTGTCTTCCCTTTTTTCCTATATGATAAGAATTTTCAGCCCATTGATACATAACGTATTCAGCAGAACATCCAGGCAATGAGTTGATAGAGTAGGTTCATTAAATATAGACATGGAAAAGCTACACTGCAGTTACAAGTCGTTTGTCTGTGTGATTTTTTTTTTCCAGTTCTTTTGAGGTGCCTATCTCAGGTGTGAAGTTCACCATGTCATCATCTTAGGGCATGTAAGTTTATTAGGGATCAGGTGTAAGCAGCAAATTTCCATTAGAAGGAAGGTATGAGGAAGAAATATGTTTATAGTGCCTTAATTTTTTTTTCTATGTGGAGAAGTAACTTCTGTTTAGGAAAAGCACGTCAGAAATATGTCATTCCTCAGCCTGATTCCTAGAGGAGAGTGAAATGACAGGAAGAGAATCTTCTTACCTGTGCTTGTAATGCAAACCTCTAATCACAATTGGGACTTGCACCATCAAACACTGAACAGACACATACAAGTGTCCTATAATCAAAAGAGTTTGTAGTCTACAAAGGAAAAACAACAAATAAGAACAATTCAGATGGGTCTCATTGTCTTTTACAGATAAAAGCATTGGAACCCAGTCTTCAAAGAGTTAGATAACAACTTTTTTCTTTGAAAAGATGCACTTCTAGAGATCTGCAAAGCAATTATTGTTTTTCACGTTGCAGGGTAGTTCCGTGCTGTGTCTGTCACAGACCAAACTTTTAATATGAAAGCATAAAACCCCCAAATAACTGGACATCATTCCATAGCAATTTGGTGAATACTTCGACTATTCAGTGTTATCCATTCCTTCTTACCACCTAATCTTCACTCTTATAAAAAAATTGAGTGGGCCTCTTCTCTTTTTAACTTGCCATCTTTTCTGCTGAGATAGCGTAGAATATGTTTTATTTCTACTAATGAGAGTAGGTGTATTTCAACTATGCAAAAGAAAAGACTGCTTTTATTACCATGTGATTTCCAGCAGCTGAGAAAATCAAGGGAGGAAAACTGTCTAAGAATATTCATGTTCCATAATCGCTGTAAGTGGAACTATAAAAAGTCTTCAGATCTGAGGTGGATACTCTTAGTGTGGTGAATTAGCAAAGTATCAAGACCTGAAATGAGTTTTCAGATGGAACTGGAATATAATCACAGCACTGGAGAAAAAGATAGAAGGTTTCAGAAACTTTATAGTGAAGTTTTAATTAGTAGTTTCTCTTTTTCTGAATAATTGTTGCCATCTCTGTTTGACCTTAGTTGTTTTCAGCTGCTCCCCAAACCACTATTCCCTAGAACCTTAATTTATTCTTGTGAGTTTTTGCACAAAGCAGAGATTTTAACATGCCTATTAGATGTATAGGTTGGTCCTGGTTTTATCTACCATGCTTGTTTATAAAGTATTCTTTCATGGCTGAACTTATATATCCAGGCATGTTATATGGACGTTTAAGAGCTAGAGTCTTAGTTTCCTGGGAAAAAATAGATATTTTTGCCTTCTAAAAGTCGTTCCTAAACTGTGGTCCATGCAGAGCAAGCTAGAAATTATCTTGGCTTCTGATGCTTCTACAGCTGTTCAAATTCTGCTGTGCAAAGAACCCCAGTGCTTGCAGAAGCATTTGTCAGCAAGCAAAACAGTGAATATTGCTGTGCCTATCAGGAACCATTAGTATTCTATGTAGAGCAAGATGAGAAGAAATAAGTCACATTCAGAGAATAACTGTACTAACAAAAATGGGATTTTTCAGAAGATAAAGTCTCTCTTCCCTGTAGTTTTCTCTTATGCTAATCGTATGTGACAAATAGACCGTCTGTGGTCAGGAAAAGAGAAACAGTAGCACAGTTTCATCCATGGAAGAGAAGAAATGTGTCACCTATTAGGGAGGTGTGCATGGAGGAACAGAGAAGGGGAAGAGACAGTGGGGAGAGGAAGATGAAATAAAAAGCAGAAAACTGTTCTCTTAAGCCTTTTCAATGTAGGCAAAGCTGCCTTTGGTTTAAATTAAAATGAGGAGGGAAATGCTTCCTCTCTTCAGTAGCTGTTGCAATTTCTGGGTGGGTGACATTGTTTTCCAGCTGTGAATGGGAGGAAGGATTTAAAAAAAGGCTTAGTTTGGTGAATGCTATGCAGAAGTTTGAGAAATATTCTAGAGTAAACACGAGGTTGAAAGCACAAGCTCGTTAATTTATATTCTCTGTGGGGAGAATTATGCTTTTTCTTATGGGAAGGTGGACCCTAAGTCCACATTTCTTCTGCGGGTGAACAGCCCTATAAGTTTTGTTTGTGTCCCTGACTGCGATGGTGTAGAGGGTTTTGTAGCTGTCTGGTTGTTCACTTTCTTTATAACTAACTGTTTGCTTTTTGTATCGCCATCCCATGATCTCCCGTCTCTCTCTTTGTAACCTTCCATTTTTGTGTTTTGTTTCCTCCCTCGCCTCCTCTTTCCGTTGCCACTGTCCCGTCCTGGTTTTCCACGAGTTGTTTTGTTTTTTTTTGTTTTGTTTTGTTTTGTCCGGGCGGGGTTTTGTTGCCCGTGCCTTTCCTCAGAAAGCACGCCTCCCGCAAACTGCACCCTCCCTACCAGGTGTCGGTCCCCGCACCGCAACACGTAGGGGGGTTTGTGTGGGACTTCCTGGGAAAGTGAGTTGCTCTATAAGGCTTCTGTTTTCCTCCGGGCTGGAATGTCGCCGCTGGCTGCCCGGCTGCTCCTGCTGCTCCTGCTGCTCTTTGGGTCTGCTGCAATTACGCTTTTTTCCCCGTGGGTCAAACGGGAATTAGTTCTGTCATGTATGAGCTCTGACAGTCTCTGCGTTCAACTCACGTCACAGTGGTTGTGACCACAGTCCAGAGGAGGTTTGCTGCTAAATTCTCCCTGATTTAAACTCAACAGAAGCTGTTGCTTTTCAGTTCTAATTCTCTTGCTGTGTTTTAAGTTTGGTTCTAATCTCTGCTATCAGTTCTGCCCGAACCAGCTAAAACTCGGTGTTCTTCAAGTGTTCTAAAATGTGTCATTGATAGAGGTCAGTATTGACTTATTCTTGAGATTTATTGTGGTCATTACCCTGAAATAAGAAAACAAACAAAAAGGAAGGTAAAATAAAGAAAAATAATGCTACTTATCTGGGACATGGCCTTCACAGCCTTCAGATGGGTAGATTACATGCAGACCTATTTGTCTGCATGTATTGTGCAAATATGAACTGACTTTGTAGTTAAGAGGTGGCAGTAAATTTGTGTATATGCTGCTTCAGAAGTAAGCACTGAGTGAATATCTGTGGAAGTGCTGGTTCCAGTTACAGGTTTAAAATTGATTTTCATTGAGCATACTCACTGTATCAGATAGGTAGCTCTTGTAAGGACACAGGGTTATTTTCCTGGAGGAAGCTTGACTTTGATTTGGGAACTAAGGAAGACAGCGCTCACCTTTGGAATGCCAGCAGTCCTGTTAAGGACAGCTGGAATTGGTGGCTATTTTAAGAAAGAGATTTTGGAGAGTTTTTCTAAAATGAGTTTAAGGATTCTCTGTTCAAGAGGAAGCCTTCCAGCTTTCAATTTGTAGCAGCCAAAGGGTGTACTCCTCATCTTAAATATTTCTGCTCAAGGGTAAATAAAAGATAAAAAAAATGGGGTGATCTCAAAGGAGTGCTGAAAAATGTGGACACTAGAACGAAGTATCTTACTTTGTATGTCTTTCAGACAGTGATATGTTTGGGTAGTGTTCTGTGAAGGATAGATGGAGAGAGAAATTAGCTGTATTTTCCATCAACTTTACAGTTTCCTAGAATAGTGTAAAGGAAACTGTACTAGTAAATTATGCCCTATGCTTAAGCCAACAATTTGAAGTTGAAATACATATTTTCAAACCACTACTGTCATATTATAATAATTGTCTTTGGTCTTCAAATTGGTTGTTTCTTTGAATTTTTAAATAATTGTTAGTACAATTTCTAAGCAAGAACCACATTGGGACATATAAATAATATAAAGTAAAAGGGATGTTGTCAAATTAAAGAAAGGTGTTTATAAAGTCATAATCATCACTGTTAAAGTTAACCTTGAGTAATTGTCATAACTCATTATAGTCCTCCAGAAATAAATTGAATTCTGATTCAGGCATAGGAAAACCTGAAACAATTAAATATTATTTTAAAATACTTTAATCCATATTGGTGCCAGAAAACATAAAAGCAAATCAAATATATTTTTCTTATGGTTAAATGGTATTATTACAAGGCAGAATCTATTGCTGTGTTTTTCATCCAATTTCCTCAAAAATCTGTAGCTTAAGTGACTATTAACTTTGCTAAGGTAATTCACTCACAACTTAGGATATTCCAAAATGAAGATTGCCTTGTAATTTTAATCCACCTCTTATGTGAGCATATATAAATATTGCAGTAAAGCAATACAACCTTTGACCATATGAACAAATTTTTTCCACAAGAATGCTACCTTTGGCATGTGAAGGACGTAGCTGAAATTGTCCCCAAAAAATCCTGGGCGAGGTTGACACCTGTCGTGGAAAATATCAGCAAGATTTGTTAATCTTTGGCAATCAACTGAGGACGAGGTTTTGTAATGGAAAGAAGTGATCAGGCCCGTAGTTAGTTCAGCTCTACCTCAGAGCACATTGAATATTGAGATTTTCATAATTTCTGAGCCAGGAAATGAAGAAGTCATTTCTTTCTTCTCAGTCTTGCTTTCTCTTCCTACAAAGTGAGCATTACTCCTGCAGTCCCATATCAGGTTTCACAGAGGGAAAACAAAATACATTTTGGATCAACATAACTGCTTTAAACAGATAAAAACAAAAGATGCAGGCACCTTCCCTTACAGGTATTTAACTTCAGACATTTCAAAGTGTATTGATTTTCAGAAGGCAAGTGTCTGCCCTCTGAAAGTCAACCTTTGTTAAAGTGCCCAAAGATCAACGCTCAGACTCACTAATCGCTTTTGAAACCTGCATCTAAGAAAAGAGAGACAGGGAGACACTGCCAGTAATTGCAAATCCATCTGTAGAGAGCACCAGATAAAAAAGCCATCATGGTGATTTTACGGTGACTCCTCAATCCATCCTCACCTTTTTCATATAATGGGATATCCTTTCTCGATTTGGTCTTTATTTAGCTGTTCTTTATTTCCCATTCTCTCCCTCTTCCTGTGTTTTGGGAGAAACTGAAACTTTGTGATATTGCAGAAACAGCTGTTCTGAAATACAAGGTCAAAGAACCCCAATTAGTCCAGCCCTTGACGTGGTGAGAGGTCAGGGCTGGTGCAGGCCGTTGCTGAATGGGCCTGCTGTGTTATCCCATCACTGAAACACCTAAAGCCTGCTATTTGCCCTGCTGTTATGTCCATGTTCAAGCAGGCAGGACTGACACTATTGAACAGAGCGATTCATGTCCGTGGAGCTGAGTACAGACCGACTCCTTTGTTAAATTCAACCATGGGCTGAAAGTGTGGTTTGTCTACTAATCCAAGACTAAGGATCTGATCTTGGATCCTCCAAGAAGGACCCTACACTAGAGAAATACTTACAAATAATGAGAAGCACTGATTGTGAGCTTTTTTGAAGGCTTCTTTTGCTGCCAGGTTTTCTGTAGCGCTGAAGTCCTTTTGTTTTTATCATTAAATCAGGGTGGTTATGAAGCATTCCCTCTCGTGCCTATTATCTCTAATGAATGTAGGAGTTGTCATCTGCCTGCATTGTAGCAATGATGGGTTTTATTTAGCAAATATCTCCTAATCCAGCTGTTAGATCAGTAGAGTGTAAGAGCTGTGATATAATTAAAATAATTCTAAAACCCAAGGAGAAAAATTCTCATCTAAATAGGGAGCCTAGTTTGCATATCAGGGTTTCATTGTTGCCTGCCTTTATTACATCTTTTCAAAAGCTGCTTTGTAGCTTTGTTTCAATCAACATCTTTGAGCAATATGAGGGTATCCATACTCACAAGCTAGTACAAAAGGAGTAAAAAAAAAAAAAAAAAGGCACCAAAAACTCTATTTATACAACTGGCATAATAAAAAAAAAAAAAAGTCAGATCCTTACGTTGTCTTGCAGTACAGAAAGAACAAAAGGAATATCCAGTAATTGCCAGTAAGGCAGTGAAATAGTAATATTAGTGACCATGCTTGTGCTCTTAGGTCCATGCATGCCTGTGCACATGGATGCACACGCAAACCTTCTCCCTCTGTCTCTCTCTTCTCCATCCCTCTAAATATCAACCCAGAAAGAAAGGAAAAGACCAGACATCATTCTTTTTACCAAGAAAATGTGTCAGAAGTGGTAAACATAAATAACCTTTCTACTTTGACAGACACGAGGAAGATCAAATGCCTATTGTTCCCTGTCAGACTGCTTTGAAGGAATGACAGAGTAGTAAATATACACAATCACTCACTGTCAAACAAGTGGAATTCAAAGGTTGACTGAAAATCGTTGCATAAACTTCCCCCTAAGTACATCTGAGATTAATTTAGCAGACTTGTTTCCCTGTAATATACAAGCATGTGGAAAAGATTGTAGCTGGAATAATCAACAGCTTTTTAAAATATATTTTTCTTAATTAAAATACTGAATCATTCACATCTCACTAACGTTTTTGATCTGCAACCAGCGATCAGATTTAAGTCAGCTTTATCTTTAAGATTAACAAGACGGTATTTTAAAAGAAAATGGCTTTCTCTGAGACCACCAGTTGGCATTACAATTGTCTTATCTCCCTGTGTGACTGTTGCATCGGAATACACAGTTAATGGGGCTGGGCAGAAACGCTGCTGCTGGATCTTGTAAGGAATGCTGCAAGTGTGTGTTCTTGCTCGAAGGGAAAGAGTGCGAACTGAAAGTGATTCCTCTGCTCTTGTGATGGGCATGTGTGGGGATGTCTCTGAGCCTGCTTGCTTGAGGCTGCTGCCTGGGGCAGATGCTTGCTGTGCTCCTCTGCTCAATTTCACTGATGTACCCCCGTGCACTGAGGCTTTTCCCCTCCAAACCGTGGCAGATCTCCATTTGCTTCCAAATAACTGGCAATTTCAGGTGTCTGCCCTGTTTTTAGTTTGAGTGATAAGCACATGGACAGATTTCTGTCCGATTTTATCGTGCTTTCTGACAGTAGTCCTTATTTTTGCTTGGATAAATATTATGTTTTTTCTAAAAGTCTACATTAAAAAAAATACTTTGTACCCCTGTAAGAAGAAAAAAAAGAAACATGGAGAAAAGGGCTAACAATTACACAAAATGTATTTTTCTTTGGAAGAAAGAATTTTATTCCGTAACAAAATGGAGATGTACCAATAATTATTCTCCATTTAAATCCCATGCAGCTGGCTAAATAATACTTCTGCAGCATACAGAAAATTGCAAGTGACCTCAGCAGAGTGTTTTACATACTGTTTTGCCTTCATCCTTTGCCAGCAAAAGATGCTGCCTTTAACAGCAGTTGAAAGAACAGTACAGTTCCTTTAAATTCTACAGGACTGTTCTGAGTTCTAGCCTGTATCTTTTTTCACTGTTAAACTGGAGAAACAGTATCACATCATTACAACAGCACCAGGAATTGCGAAGGATTCCTGAATAACAAAATGAGAAGTCTTAAATTTTCGTAATTTAGAATCAGTAACAGTCATTAAAAAGTGAAGCTTTTTTCCCTGTGCCTTATTTATTCCTATATCTAATCGAGTGTTTATTTTCACATTTTTCCTCCCTTTTGTTAAATTTGTTGGATTTTTGTCAGAACTAGTCACAAGTTTTTCTGTATGAACTAACTGAGGCTTTTGGAACGTTGTAACCTGCTTCAAGATCAAATGCTGAGTTGTGGTATTTGGCATTTTACAAGTCTCATCTTTCCCAAAATCCCCAAATAGCACAGCCTTTACAACAGCTGTCCTTGAAGAGCTTGGTTTGAAGAATGTTAGTTTAGAAGCCAAAGAAAAGTACCTTTACACTAGTTAATCTGTTACAGACCAACAACAGCTGCTTGTACAAATTCAATACCCTACATGGTTGATAGTCAAATTTATGCCAGAAATAAGGACTCCAAGTTTCATTTACGTGCCTCCATATACTGAGAGTCATAAAGAATATAACAGTTAGCCTATCCTATAGAAATATTTTTCTCCAGACCGTATCCTGCCTTTTTAGAGCAAAATTTTGTCACTGGAGAAGTACAGCATGTGTTGTAGAAGCCGAATTGTGCTTCGGACAGAAGGACATTTCCTTTGCCTCTCTTCTGCTGACTGAAAAAGCATCAAATTTGAAACGAGATTAAAAGCTCTGCAATTTCTGGCTCCTTGTTGCCTTCCCTTGGTGTTATCAGTGAAATTGACAGCAGATGCCTATGAAAGATATTGGAGACGTTTTGGGGGGGGGAAAAATAATAAACAAGCAATAATGAACCTATGGGACCTTACGTTACACAGGGGACTCCAGCATTTTGTCTTGGTCAGTTCTGCTGTTGAACAATGTTGGAGAGAACTGTCAGAAATATGCCTGTTTGGTCATTATTGTTTTTAGATTGCACCTTGTACAGGAGAATTATATGGCAGGAAGAAGAAACAGACGCTTATTTGGTTTCTCTTTGGAAGGGTGTGTTCAATGTCAAAACTAAGAAAGATGAACTTTTACCCTTTGCCAAGTCTTCAGGTCTCGAAGACTTTACTCTGTGGTTGGGATTTTTCTCCTTTCTATTTAGTCCCTTTAGACAAGTCGGGATGATCTGCAGGAAAAGTGAAAAAAAAGTGTGTCTTGCTCATGGAGAGAAAATAAGCCCCTAGAAGATGGCATAAAGGAACACATAAGGTTTCATCTTGGGTAGTCAAACTCCATATTTTCAAAATGTTTGTTAGAATTCTGGAAGAAGGATACTTGCTAATGATGTGATTTAAATCCAGAGTTTTCTATAGTCAGCTTATTTCCTTTTTCCAAGAACTGTTATGTATTGGAGACTATTTTCTCTGCAGAAAGTTGCCTCTAGTTGAAATGGTGTAATCTAATGTAAAGAAAGGTCCTTTTTTCTTTTCTTTCTTGTTCTTTTTTTTTTTTTTTTAATTAGATGTCTATAAAACATGCAGCTCTGTGTTTGTGAAGGATTGTGTGTCTGTGTGTCATTACCTGATTTATATCTGCTTGTTTTGTCCTTTATTCTTGAACCGCTTTATCTCTGGACACTGTTTTCACAAACTCTTAACTCTTTCTCTTTCGCATCTCCCTCCTGGATTTGCTGCTTCCTTCAGCCTCACCTCAAGGTCAGTATTCGCTTTTAAAGGGGTATTTATAAGACTGTTGCCTATTCAGCTGAAATGGAGATCTTGGAGAAGATTGCCCATCAAATTACGTGATTGCAAAATAAAAGATCAGACATTTGGTTAGGTCTGTGTAGGAGGGTGGGTTGAATAGGGTGCATGTTTAGAAGAAACCTGTACTTGAAGGGAAGAATTTACATCAAACCATTGTAAATCAATGTTGTTGTGCACTAGGAAGAAGGGGAAAGACTAACTAGTGAAGCCTTTAAAGGGAAAAAAATACAGGAACAGGAAACTGAAGCAAGAGTTTAAATATTACTGGGTTTATCTGTTACTTTAAGAAGAAAAACGATTGGCTGTTAGCCATGTTTTCTGATACATTACATGCTGCTGAGTGCAAAACTGGTTCCTTTAAAATACTAGTCATATGTACTTTAAATGTTGGGATTTATCATTTCATCTGTGCCTGAAACCTTGCAGTGATCTTGCAGAACTAGTTTTGGTGCCTGTTCAGTGTGCTGTGCTGTCGGAAAGAAGTAAGAGCTGAGGGCTAAAGATAAGTAAATTAGGAAGAGGATAAATTTGTTGAAGACACAAAGTGATAAACTACTGAAAAAACCTTACCAAGAGACAACATGTTTTGAGTCTTTCAGCCATGGATCATTTTTCCATGTTTACATTTTAAAAGCAGTTGCTAATCATAGATTTTGGGATTTCAGTAGAGTAACTTGGAGTAAATGTCTATGGTGTACATAATTTAGTCAGACTACATCATCTCCTGACTCCCAGTTGCCTTTGAAAGGCTCTGAAACCATTCTGGATTCCAGTCTATGCTGATAAAATCTGTTTGGTGGAAAGCGTCCGTGACTCCTGACAAAAGAATGGTCAGAATTGTTTCAGGCAGTGTCTTTGCCCAGGAAACCACTACTTAATGACTGAAATTCTGAGTTATCAACCAAAATCTGACTTTCCTATTTGTGTTGAGCACTGAAAAATGTGGTGGTGAGTGGAATCCCCCACTGCTGCGATGCCGCTGACGCCTTGAAATTGTGCCGGCGTTCTGACCTTGGTTTGGCACAGACGTTGCACTTGTGGCCTTGTCTGCGTATTTTCCTTCCTCCCACAGACTGGAGAAAGATTGGAAGTTAATCATGTTGTTGTCCATCAATACCTTCCGTATTCAGTGTATCGTCCTGGCACACTTGTAATTGCCAGGGAGAGGAGGGCTGTCCTGGAATGACCCTTTCTTCAGATCCCACAGAACACAAATGCCAGGAAGTTTTTCTGCCCTGTGAGCGTTCTCCTCTGAAATGAACACGTTGTCTTTTCCTGCATGACTAGGACTCTGTTGGCCAGTCTTTATTTGCTGGTTACCATCATGAATGGAGCTTGATGTGTTTTGTCTGGCTGAGAAAGTCCTAGATGTTATGGAATAAATCTGTCAGAGCTGTTTCTGCTTCAATCCACATGGCTTTAGGCTTCTATCAGTACCTGCACCTGTGCTGGAATTCATGATGAACAAGAGGGGAAACATTTTCAGGGTGTGGCTTTGGTGTGGAGTCTTCTAAGACTTGGTGTGATTTCTCCTTTTCCAAACAATGTGACCATAACTTTCATTTCTGTCATTCAGAGCGTATTGTAAAATTTGTCTAGAAAAGATATGGCTGTGGTCTGAGGTGGCCAACTGTTAGGAACTTTGAAGAGTTTTCTGGTAAGATACTAAAGAGATTGTTCATTCTGTCCTCATAGTTTCTTAGTGGGTTTATGGATTTTTTTTTATTTTCTTTAATTGTTTTCTGTTACTTTTTTTCCAGTCTTAAAATTAACTCTAGGATTGTTAGTTACCGAGTCTTTCATGTGTTTGTTAAAATTAATCCAGAGTATAAGGAAATAGGTGGAATGACTCCTCTTGGAACTACACAATTCCTGCTGGCCAGGAAACAAAGTTAAAAGATTCTTCTGAAGACAAATAGAGAAATTATGGGGCTTGCAGTACCACTCATTTTCTTTCCTGTGCATTTCAGAATTTGCCTAATTACCATTAACTGCAACATGTGAAAAAATAGCTGTTCTGTGAAGTTACATTTTGCCTTAGAACCTACTGTGGGGAGCCAGAACTTTATTTTTCTCTGAATTATATAAAGCAGGAGTTTTTTTCAGACATCAAAGCAAATGTGTCTCCTGGAAAAGAACCGAATATGTGAAAAATGTGCTAGGTAGGTCTCTCTTCTAGAAACAGGAAGAAATACTCTGAATTATGTCTGATCTCATCAAGAACAGCTTTGCTTACTGTAATCAGTGCAGTACCTCTGCATTTTCTGATCTGTCCATTAAGCTTTCATCCTCTCTCTCCTGTTGATAAACTCAGAGAATCAGAATATAACACTGTAATCCTCATCACTGTTGCTGTTATGACATGTACTTACTGCTCAGAAGTCTTAAGGACCTAGAGTGAATGTCATGCTGATTCACAGTAAATAAAATAGCCTTGGAAAGCGTGGGGATTAAAGCAGTTTTCCATAAGGAGTTTTTGCTCAGCATCTCTGATGACAGCTTTACATAAAGAGCTACCCAGTGCTGGCTGAGTTCAAGAGTAACAAGCCAAATAACACTGTTCTGATGTCATTACCTGCATCAGTGAAAAAAAAAGAAAAAAGAAAAATACCATGAAGTCATATGCTACAGTTCTTTTAAGTTGGTCTTTTTTTCAAGGAAAGAATGAGCTATACTGATAGAGCAAAAGTAAGATTTACAGCTTCAAATTGGGTAACAATCAGCTTAACTGGAAAGGAGGCCTCCCCCAGGGGGCTTGTCTTTCAGTGTCCTGCTTTCTACTGTCACGTTTTCTGTTGGTTTAGATCACATGGCTGATTGTATTGTCAGTCATCTTTTGAAGCAAGTAATCCAGTTCTTAAAGTTTTCTAGAGTTTTTGCTATACCAGTGAGAATTGAATGCTATAAGAAGTAATAATAAAATACTGTAAACCTTATTTCCACAAGCAAAGTGGCTTGGTGATTAGATGAGTGCAGGCTGGTGGCATGAATCCAGATAAAAGTCTCCTAAGAGTGTCCATGTAAAGTTAAATGTCAGTGAAACAACGCAAGTGTAGCCTTATAAAATCAAAGTAAAAACAAAATACTAAATCTGAGGGGATTATTTCAGTCCTTTTTCCAGAGTCTTAAATTTATATCAAACAGAACATGTCTAACCACCAAAGAAATATTTAAAACATGTCATCCTTCTATAAGAAAATGACAGGTAATATTGCATAAGAAGTTAATCAAGTTCAGGAAATTCAGGATACTATTCAATAATGATTTAAAAAAAAAGCAGAGTACTTTGTTACAGGCATCTAGTCTGTGGTACTTGTGGGTTTTTCAATGAGCTGGAAATACCTTTATACAGTGACTCATGTGATGTACATCCAGGAAGCTGTGGATCTGAGGACCGAGCGAGTGCCAGGGTAGTCAGGAGAAATGTCACTGGAAATGTGGCTGGCTCTTGAGTTTCATACCCTCAGAAGACTCGAGGTCTTCATTCTGCCACAATGTCAGTCACGAAACAGTCAGGAAGTGATAAAAATTTCAAGCATGTTGAGTCAGCAATGGTTAGTTTTAGCTCAACAGAGACAAAAACGTTGTCTTCAAAGAAGTTTCCATTTAAATTTCCTTGGCTTTCTCTAAAAACTATCAAACTCTACTAGTTGGTTTCTATTCAATATATATTTTCTTTAGTTCTACTTAGACTAAAAACAGTTTTATGGAATTCTTTATATGAAGAAGTACTCTGCTTTGTAAGAATTGCCTGTCCTTGAGAGGCATCTTAGAGATGATAGCGGGTAAAGGAAGAAATGAAGGCATCAGACTTGGCTGTGAAGGTTGGGTGGTGATGAGAAGGTACAAAACAGAACTGTGGTTTTCCTTAAAACAAGTCACTGGCATAGCCTTTCGATTTTGCTTTAGGTATTGTGATTATCAGAGCTTTCTTCCTGTGTTTGAAGTGGAATCTGTACCTTTTCTGTCAAAGGCTCTCTTTTCTTGCCTCATTTGGCTGCATCTTTTTAAAGCAAAATTATTCACAGCTGTATATCATCTCAGAATTCTCACTTTTCTGCAGTCTTGCATGATCTGTTTCCTATTACCTGCTGAAATTAATTTAATTATAGGAAACACTGATGAGTTGTTTTTCTTTTTGTGTTATGGCTTTGTTTTCAGCACATGTATTCACGGAGGGTGCAGCTTTCCTGTGGGGATTTGAACTGAGGTAGCATTAGAAAGACACATGACTGGATATGGCACTAGGGAGGATGTTTGTGTGTCATCAGAATGCTGATCAGTGTGAATTTTGAAGAGATCAGAGTCAAATGCTCTGAGAGATTAGAGAAATCCTTCACAATTTGCTTTTTTTTCAGATATAAGAAAAAAGGCGTGGTTTTTTTACCATACTATTTGAGACATTGAAAGTCAACATTATTTTTAGAAAACATTTTAAAATGTGTCTATGTTCATTTATCCCAAGGTTGACAAATTACCTAGCATGTCATCCTTAGAAGATTAACTGAAATGATCATTCAAACTTCATGCAACATTAAACATTTTGACTAACCCATATGTGTCACATCACATTTAGTCAAAGGAATAAAATCTGAAGGTTATTTTTCTTCTTTAATGGCTGACTTCTGTGCAAAATGTTATCCCCCCTCCAAAAGGCTTGATTCTTATTTCTACTAAAGCTCTAAAAGCCAGGTAAGTTTGTGGACAGACAGTGAATGTAGTATATATCTATGGTAAAATAGTCTTGGTGCAAATGATTCCATAACTGACAGTACCACGAGCTTTAACAGATCCTGGGCTCAGCATTAATACAATGCAGAGAACTCAGCTGGGCAGGAGACCTTTTTAAAAGGTCGCTGAAAAGGGTGATGAGCTCAGCAGCTGCTTTTCCTCCTGTTTTACTGGTAAGGACTCTTTTCAGATCCTTGAGTGTCGTGGCAGAGTGTGCA